GCTTTGCCTTTGACAATACTTGCTTATCTTTTCGAAATACTTCTAAAATATCCTCTTCGTTTTCTATTTTCTGATTTCTCTACTATATTATCTTTATCTTTTATTTTAAAGCCTAATTTTGCTAAACTATCTGCTAAATCATTCTACCTATTTTTACTATCACCATTTATTTTAACTAATTCTAATTGTGTTTTTTAATCTTAGCTATATCAACTATACTATTTACTAGACTATGATTCTCTTCCTTAAATATCTGTCATATTGTTCTCTTTTTTTTTTCTCCTTCTATATCTTCTATTGCTAATATACTATCTATATAGATTTTTAACTTTCTTTTACTTGGTACCAAAAGGAGCATATACCAAATTCCAAGCAATTCTGCTTTTATCGATGATGGCTAATTTCTTGCTCCAAAATAGCCCTCATTTAACTTTTGGTTTTCCTTCTTGTTAACTTGTACCCAACTAGCTCCTATTCTCATTAATTTATTCTGTGTAGATGTATTTCTACTCCTTAGAGAACTATCGGTGTAGAATATTATTTGAGATGATAGGCTTTTCCTCATTTCTGAGTTCTTGATTATAAAATCTACTTTTATTTTTTCATTAATAAACTGCTTATTAATGATTTCAGTGTCTAAGTCATAGTAGCGAACTTCACATACTTCTCTTTCATTTGGTAGTATTCCTGATCTTGAAAGCTATTGTATTGTTATGAATACTTCTTGAGGAATTTTAAGAACATTCTCCTTCTGTTTGTTTATATATTTTGTACTAGATCCTTGTGGTATTTCTTTCTTTATTAATGCTTTGTATGAATTTTCTTGCTTCTCTTGGTTAAGCTTGCAACTGCTACATTTTTTTAACTTGATCGATAATATGTTCATATTCTCTTCTGCATTCCTGTACTCTGTTAAAGTTTGCTTCTTTTTCTTTTTAACAGTTTTTTTAAAAACTGAGTTTCTATTCTTTTTGTTCTTTGTATTCTATACTATTATCTAATCTTTCTTTCTTCAGTCATCTCCTAAAGGGTCTGGAACAGCTTGGAGTATTCAAGTATTCAGGCCTTCTGACTTAAACTCTGCCTTGATAGTTGTCTTCTCTTTATCTTCTAAAACTCTTTTTTTTATTTCTTGAAACTATTTTGCTTTTTTACCTTTACTTAAGCTATTTCTAAGAATCTTTAACTGCTGTCAGATTATTAAATGGTCTTTTGTACTTGTTAGCAGTATTGTTACAGAACAGTTGTAGACAGTAAGTTTGAACACTTTGGACAATTTAGACAATTAAATAAATTAAAATTACTTAAAATTTTACTAAGATAACCTATATTAATTTCTAAATAAAATATATTTAGCATATAAAAAAAATATAATCATATATTTTTTAAACAAATTTATTATATAATTATTAAAGCTTGAATATGCTCTGGACACTTGGATACTTGGATGTTAGACAGCACCAAAAAGCTTTTGGATAGTTAAAACATACAATACTGCTTGTTAGCAGTTGCTTAAATAAAATCAGATTTGGTTTTTTTAGAGTTTTAGCTACTAGCACAGTAAAGCTTTCTTTAAATATATCTACTAATCTGTAGTTTTTAGCATAGTAGACAAGTCTGAATTTAGATGATCGATATTGTAGCTTAGCTAATTTAATAAAATTTTTTTTTTGATTTTTTATACAGATTAAAGTACTTTTTGTTCTTGCAGTTTCTCGAAATCTATTAAATAAATTTACTCTAAAAAAAAGTGAGTAAAAAGTCTTTAAATAACCTATATACTATTAAAATTAATTACAAATAATTCCAATATTTAAAAAATTTTACTAGTAGCAAGTTTTATAAGAAATAGATAATAATTTAGTTTATAATTCAACCAAGAAGTATATAATAAAGATTTGCAAAAAAACTCCAGCCTTAAAATAGAAAAAAATAACTAAAAATGTATTAACTAAGACAGAAGCTAACAAAATTTTGGCTTCATATTACAAAAATCATAAGGATGAGTATATGTGTTTGAACTGTTATAATGTGATTATTATAAATAGAGCAAGTACTTATATAGAACATGCAGCTAAATAAAGAAGATTAAAAAGATACAAAAATAATAATCTTTCTATATTAAGAGTATTTTGTTACTAACTAATATTATTTTTGAAAGAGAAGTTATAGGCAATAATCTACCTATTGTTATATTTTCTCAACTTAAAGTAATTGCTATAGACAAGAATGATCAATTAAATTTTTTCTTTGATAAAATAGAAAAAATAGCTTGTTTAAAAAAAAACAAGGCTAAACAAAGACTCTTGAACGGTCTCTGGCATATCAGTATTATTTAATATGCTAGAATCAGTGTATAGCTATACCACTTTGGAATTTGAAGGATGAATTGACTACAAGCAATAATAATCTCTTATGAATAGATAGCATTAGTATCTTGACAAAGTTTTTATATGATAGAGAGAAAAATAAGGAGGATCTAATTATTTATAGCTTTAAACAGCTGTAAAGAGAGTTGGTGGCTAAGAATTTTAGGCTAAGTAGTTTTTTTGATTCAATTTATAATACATCACTTCCCAAAAATAAAAGTGATAAATATTTAAATAAATTAAATAAAAAATTGGCAATAGAATATTATATTATTTGCAAAAATCAAAATTCTAATTTAATAGCTTTTAAAAAAGGTATTTCTTTTTTTGTAGATTTGATAGAAGTTTTTGCAGAAGCTATTGATGCCTTATTGTATGCTGGTATAATAATTTCACAAAGGTATCTAGATAAAAAAAAGACAGCCATTACTGATAATTATCTATATAGAGTTGATTTATATCTAGAAGCTAAAAAAGATAATATGTTAGTTCTTAACATCAATAATTATTATAATATTTACACCAAATGAATACTGGATAGATGTTCAACATCAAGTATAGTGCATATAACTATCTTGTTGCTAAATAGTGTTGATTCAATAGCTATTCCTCAAGTCACAACAAATGGTATATCAATTCACAATCTAAATTTCATTGATTCTAACCTTATTTGTAATTTTTTAAATAGCATCTATATGAAACAAATGGCCAAAACATTTAATAACTAGTTTTACTACAAAGTATCTTTGAACGAGAAGCTTAAAAATATGACTCTTCATAAATATAATTCTTATATACAAGAATATTAGAAAGAATATAAAATAAAGAATACAATTCTTTTAGATTTTTTTGAATTAAGCTTTAAAAATATGGATTCGTATTTTAATACTTTGCAACAAGTTTATAAAACTTCTTTATTAACTAATTATTTAATTAATAATATTATTCCAATTGTAGCTAATTGGCCTAAGCAGATATTTACATGACAAGCTATTACTCTTTGTTTACTAAACTATAAAGATAATATATCAGAAAACATATTATCTTTTATTCTGATTATTGGAGTTCTTTATATTCAGCTAAATTTATTTGAATCTATATTAAAGACCTATTAAGATTTTTTTAATATAGAGTACAAATACGTATTTAGTATGAGTAAAGTGCTTAGCCAAACACCAAGCCCATATTGAATATTTGTACTTTTGAAGCTAGTGAAAAGTATTTTGAAAAGAAATTAAGCCAATAGTAATAGGTAAATTTGGTAAATATTGTAAGAATATTGAATTTTTGTTTCTATTTAAATTATTAAACAACATAGTGCCAGTTGGATTAGATATATATTTGACTTTATTTTGATCTGGAGATTGGGAATCATATATCAAAGGCATATTTCAGATATAGTGTATTTTTTTGTAGTTTAAAAGGCGTAATTATAATAAAGTGCTCTTAATATTTCTTTCAAATATATTTTATTAGAGTTAAAACAATCATCTAATATTAAATGTACTAAAGAATCATTTAGTTAAATTTACAAACTATCCTGTTGAAAATATGTATAGTATAATATAACAACAAAGTTCTCCTACTAATATTCCACAACAACTTTTCAAGATTGCCAAGATTATTAATGCCAGAAAGGCTATTAACATATTCAAAGATACATTTGTCATTCAGAAAAAGTCTATATATGCAGATAAAGATAATATGAATTTATTAACAAAAAAGACACAGGTATTTCTTCTTGAAACCTTTGGTAAAATTTACTAAAGATTAGGACAAAGCTTTATATTAAAGGCCTGAATAAGAAAATTATCTATGAATTAGTATCACTAAATATTATTATAGACAAAAAACAAATGCTATTGGGTTCAGCAGTGAGCATTTGCCATATGACAAATATAATTCTTGCTATAGATTATTATGTAATAAAACAGGTAAAAGCTCTATGATTATTGCATGTGATTATGAATACTATGAGAGCTATTTTATTTTATTAAATGAAAAATATTATCATTGTAAAAATTTTCTCAAATTGGGTATAAAAAATAATATCTCTTCTCTACTTTTAAGATTTAGCAAATTAGATAAATCAAAATCGAATCTTAAAGAAATAATTGAAGCTGACAAAGATAGTTCACAAAATCAGAAAATAGAAAACGAAGAGGATATTTTAGAAGTATTTCGAAAAGATAAGCAAGTATTGTCAAAGGCAAAGC